CTGCGTCCCGCTGTCTCTATGTACTCACGGCTCAGAGGCTCGAAGGACTGCGAAGGCGGCGGAGGAGCGTAGTCTTCAGCGGGCTGTACAGACTGCAGTGCAGAGAAGAAAAGCCCCAAATTACGCTTCACCGTGCTGCTGGGGCAGCCGGGATCAGAGAGAGACCGGTCGAGCTCGTTCCCCAGAGACTGTAGGCATGCACAGCCACATAGCATGCATGCATGCATGCATGCAGGTATGCATGCATACGCAGACAGAGATCACGCATGCACACATGCACAACAATTCACCAAGCATGCATGTGAAGTTATACACCAAATATACATGCGTAGCCCAGCGAAACAGCCCCAAACATTTCGCCTGAACGCATGCATACAGGGCACGCGGCTGTCCCCCAAGCCCCGCCTAGCAGCCAGAGATGAGCGTGGCCACGGAACGTCTGCTTCGAGAGACAGAGGCCGAGCCGAGAGAAAGAGAAAAAGGCGGAGACAGAAGAAGCAGAAGGAGAATGGCAGAAAGGAGACAGTGCAACGAAAGAAAAGAAAGAGAAATACAGAAAAAGAAGTTAATGTTATAAAGCTCCACTTACTTGTAGAAGCTGCGCAAAGAGCACGCGAATACGAGGAGCGTCCAAGCAGGAGATGACGTACCCCGCTGTGTGCACCAGGGAGGAGCTGTTGTCTAGACTCAGTCCCGGCCTGAAGAGACCCACAGCCCCAGTGTATACTGAGCCAGGAGAAATATATAAACCAAGAGAAATATATATCTGCACTCAAGCTCTCAACAAACTCTATCGGTCACGGCGAGGTGGGCCCAGCCTGCGAGCTATTTATCTAGCTAGCTGGCTAGCTAGCCAGCTAGCTAGGTAGCTAGAGCTCATACACTGCCTATCTTTACTTAGTTAGTTAGCTAGCTAGCTAGAGGCGGAGCACTTGTGATACAGGAAAAAGTGCACAAGTAGTAGTGACTGTGTGTGTGTGGCTAGCTTGGCTAGCTTGGCTAGCTGAGAGGCACAGAAGCAGCGGGGTTGCACGTACCTAGAGAATGCGTCTATGAGGGCATGCAGAAGCGCATGCACATCCTCTTCCCTTCCTGGCGATGGGATGAAGCTCGCTGCTGCAGCAACAAGCGAAGAAAGGCCCTCCACCAGCAACGCCTCAGTAGACAGACGTATTAGAGCAGCATTCGAGTCCTTTGCCGCCTCCTACCCAAACACGCAGCAGCACAGACAGCACAGCAATGAGAAAGAGATAACACCACGAGAGAGAGAGAGAGGGAGATATGCCCCCCCTCCCCGGATTCCCCTACACTTGCACTGCAGTCTGGGCCTGCTGCTATGCACCCCCAAGCCACTGCAGCAGGGGGGGGGCTCGGCCGCCTGCGACGCTGCCCCGTGCCCACGGCAGAAAGGACCGGAGCTGCTGGCGGGTATGAAGGAGACAGTCTCTGAAGAGAGGGGAGACAGACGCACCGGGAGCGAAGCAACGAACTGCAGCGCACGAGTGACGAGGAGAGAGAAGAGAGGAGCAAACAACTCCTGATGCTGCGGCAGTACACGGCCAGCAAGCCAAGAGATAGCTCGAGCTGCTGCTGCATGCAAGAAGAGTTGCAGGGCTCCCTGTTCTGTGATCTCTACAGGGGACCCGGAGGAAGCTGCGGGCGGCGCTGAGAATGCCAGCTGCGGCAGCAGCGGCAGCAGCTGCAGCAGGAAGTCATTGCTTCGCGGGTCTGTGCTTGGGGCTGCTGTATTGACGCTGCTGCTGCTGTTGTTGCTGCTGTTGCTGTCTCCTTGTGTTCCCCCTGGGGGCACATTCAGTTGAATGCGGTTAGCAATCGCAGAGACAAAGTAAAGCCGCGCCTCTACCTCCAGCAGCGCTTCAGGGCGTGCAGCAGTCTGCAGCAAAGGAGACATACATACATACATATACATACATACATATACATACATATACATACATATACATATACATATACAAATACATATACATATACATATACATATACATATACATATACATATACATATACATACATACATACATACATACACTTGCAAGGCTGTGAAGGTGAAGCAGCAGCACGCGCAGCAGCAGCGTTGACTCAAACAAACAAAAGACAGAAGACGAGCACTACCCCCCCGCATGCATACGGGTACAGCCAGCCTGCATGCGATAGAAACTAAGCCAAGCCAGGTGAAGTTACCTCGGGGTCCTTCAGCAGCATGAGGAGCTGCGCAGCACACGCGCTGCAGGGGCGCTCTATATCAAGTAAGACAGCGGCCTCTGTGACAGTGGCTGCAACCTCACCCCTGAAATTCTGCCAGGCCTNTCTATATCAAGTAAGACAGCGGCCTCTGTGACAGTGGCTGCAACCTCACCCCTGAAATTCTGCCAGGCCTCAAACTCTAACTCCTCACGCAGCAGGGGCCCCACAGGGGGCCTCAGCTGCTGCACTGCTGCCTCGGCAAAGGGCTGAAACAGACGGGAGAGTACAGGCTCCCGCATTGCCAATGCATCCATGTTACGTTCATATCGTCGATTCACTTCTGCTAGAGCTTCTCCGGCATCTTTCCTGCATCCAGCAGCTTGTGCTGCAGCAGCAGCGCTGGTGAATCCGCCTGCTCCTGCTGCTGCTGCTGCAGCAGCAGCTGCAGCAGCAGCTGCTGCCGCTGCTGCTTCGTTGCGCAAGTGCTCCCGCCAGGCGCTGAGACGCCTCTCCTCCTCAACAAGGACAACAACGTGGTTAAGGAGATTGCGATAGAAAGCCACGCCAACTTCTTTTATTTCATAAGAGGGGTGCTGCAGAAGGGCTCGCGGCAGCTCACATATTGCTTCTATAGAAGGCTGCANCACCCGCTTGCCCCTCCTCCAGGGTCACCTCCTCATCCACCAACAGACGCGGTATCTGCACCTTCGCCAACTCAGTAAGACCCAATGCAAATACCTGAAGCCTCTCCAAGTCGAACGCAGCTATTCCTCGCGGTTGCTGCAGAGCAACACAGAACCCCAGAGGTGAGAGACTGTGGTTTAGCCAGTACATACAGCAACACACGCAGTAAGCCACAGTCAACTCCATCTGCTGTATCTGCAGGTGTTGTGGTTGCTGTTGTTTTAGTTATTGCTGCTGCTGCGGTAGTAGATTCACAGCAGCAGCGCTGCCTGCTGCTCATGCTGCTGCTTCCTCTTACTCCTCTTGCTGCAGCCAATGCTGCGGTACACCCGTCGCCGTAGGCCTTAACAATCGCAGCAATAAGAGAACGAGTGACAGCATCTTTGCTTTCTCTCCCTTCAGCTGTCTCAGCAGGAGAGTTGGGTTTTATGGGGCTCTCTGTGATGCCTGGCCCAGTTCCTGTCTTCGCAGCCGCTGCTGCTGCTGCTGCTGCTGCTGCTGCTGCTGCTGCTGNGCCACTACGCACTCTGTTGAGAGCTGCAGTGTCTCTACATCCTCGGCGATGATTCCACCCAACAGAGCAGAGAAAACCTTGCCCCCTGATAGGCGCTGGAGACACATAGATAACGCCTCCAACGCAACAGAGAGACCCCAGGGCCCTTGCTGCTGCTGCTGTTGTTGCTGCTGCTGCTGCCTGTGCTGGTTCGCTTGCTCCGCGTCAACCTGCTGCACCCAGCAGCAAGCCGCCGATAGCCAGGACTGCACTGTCC